ATTCTTCTAATTGTCAGCAAGGGATCTGGATGAGAGCTGAATTCTGGAGAAATGGCCTCGGTGGGAAACCCTGGGCCAAGGGATGAAGACTGAGGCCAATCGTTTTACATTTCAAGTTCTCATTCATATGTACGTTGACGCTACTGATCGTTGCAGCGATCCAGAGATTCATTTAAGGAGCCCCGCGCTATGAGCTTCTTATTATTTATTTATTTATTTATTTATTTATTTATTTATTTATTTATTTATTATTGATTGATTGATTGGTTGGTTCGATTTATATGCTGTCCTTCTTCGGAGACTCAGGGCGGCTTACAATGCGTTAAGCAATAGCCTTCATACTTTTGTATATACCTGCTTAGTAGGGCTTTCGGGCCCCCCTAAGCGGTGTTCTTTTTTATACAAAGTCAGATTATTGCCCCCACAAACCAGGTCCTCATTTTACCTACCTCGAAAGGATGGAAGGCTGAGTCAACCTTGAGCCTGGTGAGATTTGAACTTGCAGTAATTGCAGGCAGCTGGTGCTACTTAACAGCACTTTAGTCTGCTGCGTCACCAAAGCTCTTTTTAATATTAAGACTGTACAAAGCCATTTTAAATGAAGAAATGGCTTGAGATATGCTTGTGGAGGGGGGGAGAGGGGGGGAAGAGAATGAAGCCTTCAAGGAACAATCTCCGGGTCTAGCTTTGCTTATCTGCTGCCGCTAATAGCAGCGATAAAGTTTAAGAGGGCTCGTGGCAGGAATTTCCATCCCCCCAATTCTTAAAAAAAGAAGAAATGAATACATTAGCTGGCAGAGCTCGTCTTCCAAAAAGGAAAGGGGTGAATTTATTCAGGAAAGATCTGGCTGCGTTTGGCTTAATGAGGAAGAAATGTAATTGCAAGGGGGGGGGGGAAATTAATGATCGAATTGGAGGCCACCTTAAGTGGACTTACAGTACTGTATCTATTTGCTTAGCGTATCAGTTTTTAGCTAATTTAATGGGTTGCCTTCAAGCGTGGATTAAGGATCGTTTGCTGAATAATTGGCCATCTTTACCCCTCAAACTAAACCAGATCACTGTGATTTCTAAACCATGGGCAGTCCTTGATCTACAACCATAATTGGGACCGAAATTTCCGGCGTAAGTCGCTGCAAATCATAAAGAGAGATTTTAGGGTCATTTTTACCACGGTGGTGAAGTTTGACTCGGTAGTTGTTAAGCAAAACACCGGGTCGTGTCATTAAGCCAATCCTGCTTCCCCAACTGACTTTTGTTGGTCAAAAGCAGCAGGGAAGGTTGCAAATTGTGAGCATGTGACTTTTAAGACACTGAAACCATCGTAAACGCGAGCCGATTGCCCAAATTGCGATCGGGTGATGTGGTGCAATGGTTGTAACTTCGAGGATGGACCGACGCCATTTTAAACGAACGGTCGTAAATTGAGCATTACCTGTGCAGCTTACCAACCACAGGGAATGTCACCTGCTCTGCTGACAGCCACCAAGCCGTATTGTGCCTTAGGATAATGTGCACGGGCCAGAAAAGAGAGATGTGAAAATATCTACAGATCAGTGGTGGGTTGCCCCTGGTTCGGACCGGTTCGCAAGAACCGGTAGTAAAACCGGTGGGAGTCTCCGCCCACCGACCCGGATGTCATCATAGGTGATCTGCGCATGTGCAGAAGCGCGCATGCTCTCAATGCGAACCAGTAGTAAAGGTAAGTAGAATCCACCCCTGCTATAGATCCCTCACATCCTGGACGTAAACTGTTTCAACCTCTTCCCTCAAGACGATGCTAATAGGGCACTGCACACAAAAACAATCAGACACAAGGATAGTTCCCCCCCCACTCCCCAACGCCATCTCTCTGCTAAACAACTAATTCCCACAATACTGTCTAACTACCGGTACCTAGTAGGGGTGTATTACTATTATCCTTCTCATCTTTCCTATTACCTGTTTCCTTATCTTCTCATGATTATAACTTTGTTGCTTGCATCTTACGATTTCTATTGTTGTATTTAGTTATCCTAGTATGATTTTTATGTTGGTTGTTTATTTAGTATCCTGTTGACTATCGGTAAGTGTTGCATCTTATGGTTTCTGATGTATTTTCATGATGATTATGATCATGATTTATCGCTTGTTGCTTGTATGTACACCGAGAGCTTATGCACCGGAGATAAATTCCTTGGGTGTCCAATCACACTTGGCCAATAAAGAATTCAATTCAATTCAATTCAATTCAATTCAATTCAATTCTTCAATTATTCTATTCTATTCTATTAGTCTATTGTATTATATTGTATTGTATTCTAGTCTCTATTCTATTCTATTCTATTCTATTCTATTCTATTCTATTCGTCTATTGTATTGTATTGTAGTTTCTATTCTATTCTATTCTATTCTATTCTATTCTATTCTATTCTATTCTATTCTATTCTATTCTATTCTATTCTATTCTATTCCCCATCCCTATCCTAAAACCGGAAACTAATTATCAACATTTATTAGCTCTGTGGACTCGAATGGAATTTTGGCTATTAAACATTACACACCAACTTGAGTTTTTTGGAGGAGGAACGCAGGTGTTAAAAAAGCATCACTGTCTTCCTCTAACATTATGTGATGCTTGTTGCAAGTGTAATGTTTGTGTGTAGCAGGGTTCTCTCTGTCCTTCTTTTGAAAAAAAAACAAAACAAAAACAAAACAGTTTACATGCCATTTTTGTTTTGTTTTGTTTTGTTTCCTGGAAAACACACAGCATTGTTTGATGCCCCATTAAACCGAACGGCAAAAAAATCTGTTTAAAACTGGAAGAGCACTCTGGTTCATTAGTGTCCCGGCTATTAATTTCAAAAGCACCCTTGTCCCCATTATGGCAAAAATGAGCGAAACAGACAGTTTCCTGGCAACCGCACGGTGTGTTTGCAATCTGTTTCATCAAACACAAAATACGCACGGTAAACAATTCAGGGAAAAAAAACATAAAAGGTGGAAGGCAAAGCAACAGGTCCCGCTTCCCACAGAGACCTAGTCATATTAGTGGGTCTGTGCCACAAAACTCCTGGAATTAAAGGAAAAAATACACAAATACGGGCGGCGAGTGATATTCAGCGTTTAACTGACATTTGGTAACAGTTACCTAAACCAGGCAAATCAAAGGGAAGGTGAGTCTGAATTTAACTTATCCCCACCCAAGGGAGATGAGACAAGAGGTGTCCATTGTCACCCATGAGTAGAGAAGACGGCTGTGCCAACCACACTGTGCCAATTTAGGGGTGGCAATTACTCCTACCCGCCCAGTTAAGGGGCAGGGACATTAGAATTAACCAAGTTCAATAACGAATGCCTGTGATCACTGAGAAAACCGACGGATCCCATCTGTTTATCTATCGACTGTTTTCATCCAGATATATATAAAATAGGCTCATATTTTATTTTATTTTTTTAAAAGTCTTTTAGGAGTATATATACACACAGGCAGAACTGGTTGCCAGCCATTTTCAGGTAAGGAGCACACATACAGAGAGAGAGAGGGGGGGGGGGGGGGGAAAGAGAAGGAGAGGGGGGGAGGGAGACAGGAGAGAGAGAGACAGAGAGAAAGAGGGAGGGAGGGAGAAGATGAGAGAGAGGGAGGGAGAGAGAGAAGGAGAGAGGGAGAGAGGAGGGAGAGATGGAGAGAGAGAGTGAGGGAGAGAGGGAGAAGGAGAGAGAGTGAGGGAGAGAGAGAAAGAGAGGGAGGGAGAGAGAGAGAGAAGGAGAGAGAGGAAGGGAAAGAGAGGGAGTGGGGAGGGAGAGAGAGAGAGAGAGGGAGAGACAATATCTGTGAGGTCACTGGTGCTCTCTGGGCTTGGTTGTTTTCTTGCAGACATTTCATCCATCATTCACCATCGTCCTTCTAGCTATTATCTATCCTCTGCGGGGTGAAGGCTCCTTCCGCATGCTTCCAACCCATACGGTCCTGGGCTTGCTTATTTATTTATTTGTTTGTTTGTTTGTTTGTTTGTTTGTTTATTATTTATTTATTTATTTATTTATTTATTTATTGCCAATTGGACCCGCCATACTTGCTGATGTCGTTGAGCCATCTGTCCCGTATATTTAGAATACACGAAACATATTTGATTATATTTGAAATGTATGAGATATTTCAAGGTTTATCTTGGTTATCTACAAGATTTAACGCCAGACCAACAACCAAATTGTCAACGCAGCCCACACAAGGAACCAGCCGAGAAGAAAACACTTCCTTCAACAATGACAGGGGCAAGCCACTTCTATATATATCAACAGAGAGCAAACCCTGTTCTCTTCTAGCACTGATGACGTTACCTAGTTGGGTCATGAAAGGTCTGCAAGAAAACAACCAAGCTCAGAGAGCACCAAGGACCCCACAGTCCTCCTCCTCCTCCTCCCTGCAAATTCCCACTCCTTCTAGCACTGATGATGTTACCTAGTTGAGTCATGAAAGGTCTGCAAGAAAACAACCAAGCTCAGAGAGCACCAAGGACCCCACAGTCGTCCTCCTCCCCCTCCCCTCCTCCTCCTCCCTCCTCCCTGCAAATTCCACTCCTTCTAGCACTGATGATGTTACCTAGTTGAGTCATGAAAGGTCTGCAAGAAAACAACCAAGCTCAGAGAGCACCAAGGACCCCACAGTCGTCCTCCTCCCCCTCCCCTCCTCTCCCCCTCCTCCCTGCAATTCCACTCCTTCTAGCACTGATGATGTTACCTAGTTGAGTCATGAAACGTCTGCAAGAAAACCACCATACTCAGAGAGCACCAAGGATCCTCCCCTTCTCCACAAACCCCACTCATCACCTCATCCCCACAGTAACAAAGAGGGTGGACAACACATTTTTAAAGCAAATCCTCTGATGGGAAACTGGTTTCTCTCTCAATGGCCCCAGTCATTGAATAAGACATTCCCCGGGGGGGCGGAGGGGGCGGGGGGAACGACAAACAAACAAGCCAGCATGTATTACTGTTACGTTATACTTTCATAAACCTACCTTTGAGCTGTCACTGGCCTCTTTCTGAAGGAAGAACTGTTTCTTAAATTCGTAGTAGGCGTTGTACTGATGCCAAGGCTGCAGAAATTCAAATCTGTTAAGGAGGAGACAAAAATGTAGAAAGTCCTCAATTTATGACCATAACTGGGGCTGGAACGGTTGCTCGTAAGCCATGTCAGATCCGATTTTATGACCATTTTTAGGGAAGTCGTATCGCCACAGTTGTTAAAAGTGAATCCAGTTATGCCAATGGGCCTTTTAGGTTGCAAATTGCGACCAGGTGATACACGGATCCTACAACTGGTCGTAAATGCAACTTGGTTGCCCAGTACCCAAATTGTGATCCCAGGATGCGCAGGGGGATACGACTGTTGTAAGAGCAAGTACAGGCCGTAAGTCCCTTTTCCCCCAAGGCCGTTGTAACTTTGAATAGTTTTAAGTTGAGAGCTACTTATAATAGAGCTAGTCCTTGACTTACAACCGTTCATTTGGTGGCCATTCAAAATTACAACACTGAAAAAGTGACTTTATTGGTTCGATTTATTTATTTATTGGTTCGATTTATATTTTAAATTTAAATTAAATATTTTATATTTAAATTTTTTGGGGTTTTAAATCTGAGCCAAATTTATTTAATTATTTTAAATTTTAATTGCTGTTTTGTCTGTGTTTTTAAATAGGCTGTACACCGCCCTGAGTCCTTCGGGAGAAGGGCGGTATAGAAATAAAATTATTATTATTATTATTATTATTATTATTATTATTATTATTATTATATGCTGCCCTTCTCTGGAGACTCAGGGCGGCTTACAATGCGTTAAGCAATAGCCTTCATACTTTTGTATATACCTGCTTAGTAGGGCTTTTGGCCCCACCTAAGCGGTGTTCTTTTTTTTATATACAAAGTCAGTTTATTGCTCCTACAATCCGGGTCCTCATTTTACCTACCTCGGAAGGATGGAAGGCTGAGTCAACCTTGAGCCTGGTGAGATTCGAACTCGCAGTAATTGCAGGCAGCTAAGTGCTACTTAACAGCACTTTAGTCCACTGCACCACCAAGGCTCTTTTATGACCGTTTTTCACACTCACCACCTTTCCAGCATCCCCGTGGTCACATGATCAAAACTCAAGACGCTTGGCAACTGAACTCACATTTACGACGGACGCAATGTCCCGGGGTTGAGTGATTCCCCTTTCATGACCTTCTGACAAGCAAAGTCGATGGGGAAGCCAGATTCACTTAACAACCGTGCTACTTTCTTAACAACTGCAGTGATTCACTTAACAACGGTGGCAAGAAAGGTCGCAACATGTGGCAACATTAACTTAAATCAAATGTTTAGAATGAGTGAGCTGGAAGGGACCTTGGAGGTCTTCTAGTCCAGCCCCCTGCTCAAGCAGGAGAACCTATACAATCTCAGATAAGTGACTGTCTAGTCTCCTCTTAAAAACCTCCAGTGATGGAGCGCCTACGATTTCTGGTGGCAAGCTGTTCCACTGGTTAATTGTCCTCACTGTTAGGAAGTTTCTCCTTAATGTCTCGCTCAACCTCAGAAATTTTGGGCTCAAATTCATAAGTCGAGGGCTTACCTGCATTTCCCTCTGGGAGGGAGATAGATACCGTATTTTTCGGAGCATAAAATACACTCCCCTACACTCCCCCCCCCCTAAAAGTGGGTGAAAATTTCGGTGCGTCTTATAGACCAAATACGGGCCTGGTTTTGGCCTCCCAAACCCTCCGCGCGTCGCATTTTCGCCCTCCCCGGACCCCAGAAGCACTCTGCAGTGCTCCGTACGTCCCATTTTTGTCAAAAATGGGCCGTTTTAGGCCTGCAAAGTGCTTCTGGGGGCTGGGGACGGCGAAAACGTGACGCGCGGAGGCCAAAAATTATTTTTTTCCTTGTTTTCCTCCTCTAAATGTAGGTGCGTCTTATAGTCTGAAAAATACGGTAATTTAAAAATGTGGTACAGAAATCAAAACGGGGGAAAATACACCATCCCTCAACTGTAAATCGTGGCTATAATTCATTATTTCCCCACCTAAGGAACAAAAAAGGCTATTTGATATTCTGAAAATAATAAATTACACCCCCAAGGGCCAGAAGTTACATATGTCTGGAAGGCAAGCTTCGAGATTCTTTGGCAATAATGCTTTATCATTAACTTCCAGTAGTTTCTTGAATTTTAATGTGAGGAACTACAATAGGTTACTATGTTGCCCACCCCCCCGCCCCCCTTTCTTCTGACAAGACTGTCAATAAGAGAGCGGGGCAAAGCTACCCGGCTTGCAGGTTTATCGTAAAATGAAATTAAGACCGAAGTCTTCCCTCTACTCACCTCGGATCATTCTTGGCACGAACGCTGGTCTCAAATTTAATCCCATTTCTCGCAACATACTCGGCTAGCTTGTCAATTACAGGTTGGATATCTGGAGGTGGAGGAATGACGGCAACCACTGGAGGAATTGAGCTGGGAAATGTCAAGAGTTGTAAGATTTACACAAGGCAGAGAACACAACCTATTAAAATGGGGAGGGGGGGAGGGAGGGAGAAGCAGCTCAATTTTTTTTAAAAGCATCACCTGACTGCGGGCTAAACAGGGAAAAGCCAGGTATTTCAACAGCACTGGGGGTGGAGTGGGGTGGAATAAGGGAAATACAGATCAAAGGTCCCAGGCAGGATTTTAAAAGTTTTAGACATCCAACTAAAATGAACAGATCTAAACAGGGATGGGATTCAGCCGGTTCGGGCGAAACGGATGCTACTTTTATATCTGGTTCACCGAACCGGTAGTTGCAAGGACTGGCTGGCCCCGCCCACCCTGCCCCTCCCCTCCCAGGAGTCTCCATGCGGCCCGTTTTAGATGCCAGGTAAGTGCAGGGCCTGCACGGAAGCTCTGGGAGGATGAAAAACGGGCCTCCCGGAAGTCGGGAAACAGGCCCAATTCCTGCCAGAGGCCAGGGGAGGCAGTTTTCGCCCTCCCGGAGGCTCGAGAAAAGCCTCCAGAGCCTGGGGAGGCCGAAAATGCCCCTCCCCCCCATGGTGCAGGTGGCCGAGTAGGCCACGCCCACCCAGCAACCGGGCAGAGAACTGGTTGCTAAAATTTTTTAATCCCACCCCTGGATCTGAACGATTCATTCTGGCTAACGAACGTGCAATTCTGGAGAAACTGCAATTGTTTGAAGCAGGACGGCCACCAGTCAAGAGAAAAGAAGCGGTTTAAGAGTAATTTTGCATGCGCAGCTTCTGTCAGACAATAGGCCCTTATTGAAATTCTCTACGTATTCTGCAAAGCTAAGACTCTGCTTTAATTGAACACCGTTCTTTCGGAACGGGTTCTTTTATGGGAGATACACACCCACACGCTATTACTTTCATTACGCGAAATTCCAAAGCAATATTCATTTCAAATATTTACGTCGCGTAATTAAAAAGGAACGTTGGCGGTATGATTGACCATATAAACTGTGTTATTTGATTTTTATCCCACCTTTATTACTTGCTAGGTAAATTCAAGGCAGCAAACATAAGGTAAGGCTTAATCCCTCCTCCTATTTTCCTTATGACGACAACCCTGTGAGGTGGGTTGGGCTGAGAGCGCGGGACTGGGGGAGAGTCGCTCAGCTGGTTTTCATGGCTAAGGCAGGACTAGAACTCCCAATCTCCTGGTGATGGGTCCAAAGTTACCCAGTTAGCTTTCATGCCTAAGGAAGGTTTAGAACTCACCATCTCCTGGTTTCTAGGCCAGCACCTTAACCACTAGATCAAATTGGCTCTCAAAAATGAGGGAAAAAAATGATGGAGAACCTTTTCTCATATAGGACATTAGTCCTGTTAAGGCAGAACCAGAACTCCCAATCTCCTGGTGATTGGTCCAAAGTCACCCAGTCAGCTTTCATGCCTAAAATGGGACTAGAACTCACCGTCTCCTGGTCACTGGACCAAATTACCCAGCTGGCTTTCATGCTTAAGGCAGAACCAGAACTCCCAATCTCCTGGTGACTGGCCGAAAGTTACCCAGCCAGCTTTCACATGCCTAAGGCAGGACTAGAACTCACCGTCTCCTGGTTTCTAGGCCAGCATCTTAACCACTAGACCAGTGATGGCTAACCTTTTTGCCATTGCATGCCAAAAGCGTGGGGAGCGTGATATCACACACGTACGTGCCCACACCCATAATTCTATGCCCCCCACCCCTGCACATGTGCGTGCAACCCCCCTGCTTTTGGCACACAGTAGGCCCGTTTTTCACCCTCCCCAGGCTCCAGAGCCTTTCTAGGAGCCTGGAGAGCGCGAAAAATGGGCCTCCCCCCCCGGCCTCCAGAGGCCAGAAATAGCCTGTTTCCGGACTTCTGGTGGGCCCAGAAGGCCTGAAAATCAGCTGGCTGGCGTGCACATGCGCACCGGAGCTGAGCTCACATGCCCACCGATATGGCTCCATGCGCCACCTATGGCACGCGTGCCATAGGTTCACCATCACGGCACTAGACCAAATTGGCTCTCAAAAATGAAAATAAATAAATAAACGATGGAGAACCTGTTCTCGTATGGGATACTAGAGCAAAATGAACATCAGCAGGCTTTGAGATGGCCAACAGAATATCCTCTCCAGAACGCAAACTTGGGAAGACCGATCTGGAAGTGGGCAGTTCATTAAACAGAAATTAAATAGGCTTCTTGCACATTATAAGCCCGCACAGGGCTGGCAGGGGAGGAAAGCGGATTATTTTTAGTGAAAAGATTAATTGCTGACCAAGGAGGCTGTCAAAAAAAAAAAAAATGTCAAAAATCCCCTGAGGATATCATCCGTGAAACAAAACTAGACAAGGCAAACATACCGGCTCTTTTGCGCTCTTGTCTAAAGCTCTGACAATTTTAGGATGCAATGAGACGCCCTTTTATTTGAGCTGCCGTTTTAATTATTAACATTTAATCACTTTAACATATGCAACTGTCCGCTGCCTGGTAGCTGGGAAGCCTCCCTGCCAAAACCTGGTCTGAAAGAAACAGCCCAGCCACTCAGAATTGCTGGCGTTAGGTCAACAGCAGGACCAAGGTTTATATCAATGCAAAAGCTGCATTGGGGCTTACAAAGGGATTCTGGTGTTCAACATCTGAACACCAGAAATGAATATAATAATAAACCCACAGTAATACAGAATAACAGGATTGGAAGGGACCTTGGGGGGGGGGTCTTCTAATTGTCTAAGATGGGCAGCTAATCAAACTGGAGAAAGAGATAGGGAGGGAGGGGAAAGGGGAGAAGGGAAGGAGGAAGGAAGCAAGCAAATGAGAAAAAGGGGGATGAATAAATGAATTGAAGAAGGCATAACAGAGATATTAAAAGAAGGGAAGGAGGGAGGAAGGAAGGAAGCAAGCAAGCAAATGAGGAAAAGAGGGAGGGAGGCAGGAATAAATGAAAGAAGGCATAAGAGATATTAAAAGAAGGGAGGAAGGGAGGGAGAAAAGGAGAGGAGAGGGAGGGAGGGAGGAAGGAAAAAAACCCTGATTTCTGATGCTTGTGGAAAAACCCTCCGTGGGAAAAAGAGCCAAGTAAGTACCTGCTGCTATCAAGTCCATATTATCTCATCACCAATGAGTTGTTGAGTCTATCCAACAAGTTGTTGTCCTTAGCTTGGGTTTATTTTCAGAAGTGGGTATCCCCTTCCACCAATTAGAAAAAGGGTGCTCTGTTACACGAGCAGCCTGTTAGTTACACAAGTCACTCAAACCAAACTCCTTCTCTGCACAGGCCAGCCTAAAATACGATACCTTGCCGAAGTGCTTGTGCCAGGTAAGGCGCCACCCGTGTCTTCACTGGCTTCTGAAGATGTTGAAGGTGGCGGTGGCGTCGTGCCGGGCGGCGGAGGTGCTGTGATCGTGGCTACGCCGGTGGTGCTCGACACCGTCACACCCGCTGGCAAGGCGCTGTAGTAAGTAGCCATGTCAATCCCCGGCGGCGGTGGGGCAAGGCAGTACGTTCCATCGGGCAGCATGTAGTAGCTGTAGTACATGGCTGCCATTGTTGCTAGATAGATATATTAAAAAATGGGATGATCAGAATACAGGTAAGCCTCGATTTACGACCACAATGGAGTTCAACATTTCTGTTGTTAAGTGAGACATTTGTTAAGTGAGCTTTGCTCCATTTTACCACCCTTCTCGCCATTAAGTGAATCCGGCTTCCCCACTGACTTTTGCAGGTCGGAAGGTCGCAAAAGGGGAATCACGGGACTTTGGGGCACAGCAAAGGTCGTAAGCATGAGCCAGTTGCCAAGCGTCTGAATTCTGATCACACGATCATGGGGATGCTGCAAAGGTTGTAGCTGTGAAAAATGACACCCTTTTTCAGCCGTTGTAACTTCGAATGGTCCCCAAGTGAACTGATGTACTGTAAGTCGAGAGCTACCTGTATAAGCAGTAACGTCAAGGAACGTGAATTTGATTGAAAGAGCTAAAATGCATCGTCTAGGATGCTGAGCAATAGCAATAAGACTTATATACCGCTTTACAGCCCCTCTCTAAGCAGTTTGCAGAGTCAGCCTCTTGCCCGCAACCATCTGGGTCCTCATTTTACCCACCTCGGAAGGATGGAAAGGCTGAGCCAACCTTGAGCCGGTCAGGGTCAAACTCCTGGCAGTGGGCAGAGTTAGCCTGCAAAACTGCATTCTAACCACTGTGCACCATGGATGGATGGATGGATGGAAGGAAGGAAGAAATGAAGGAAGGGCAATAGCAATAGCCCTTAGACTTATATATCGCTTCACAGTGTTTTACAGCCCTCTCTAAGCAGTTTACGGAGTCAGCCTTTTGCTCCCAACCATCTGGGTCCTCATTTTACCCACCTCGGAAGGATGGAAGGCTGAGTCAACCTTGAGCCGGTCAAGGTCGAACTCCTGGTAGTGGGCAGAGTTAGCCTGCAAAACTGCATTCTAACCACTGTGCACCATGGATGGATGGATGGATGGAAGGAAGGAAGGGAGGGCAATAGCACTTAGACTTATATACCGCTTCACTGTGCTTTAGCGCCCTCTCTTAAGCGGTTTACGGAGTCAGCCTCTTGCCCCTAATCATCTGGGTCCTCATTTTACCCACCTCGGAAGGAGGGAAGGCCGAGTCAACCTTGAGCCTGGTGAGATTCGATCTGCCAAACTGCTGGCAGCTGGTGATCAGCATAAGTAGTCTGCAGTACTGCACTCTAACCAGTGCGCCATCGCGGCTGTTACCTGAGAGTCCACATCAAAGGAGTAATCTACTGGTAGGTGACAGGTGGATATTATGTTCCATTAAATGCTAATAACAGCAGAATCGTATTATGAGTTTTGAGGGAAAATGGTGCGATGTCATGAATATAAGGCAATCCAGGGAGAAAATGTCCTCTTATGTGACATCGGTGGATGGGTAGGAATGAGATGAGGGAGTATAAAGTGGTGATTGGGCTATTTGGATCCCGAGAGATTATTATGATTATCTGCTTAGAAAATTGTGTGCTTGTTTTTCAAACATACCTCTGAATTTGTACACACAGCGAAGGAACTGATAGAAGCCTGAAAGTTCGGCTGATTTTCGATTGTTTTGGATGACAGGTTGACATTAGTGAGCGATATGGGAGGGAGCAGAAGTTCTGAATGCTGAGTTAGGAAATGATAATTACCTAACTTGTTGGGTTGGCAATATATAAAACCTCAATACAAGTAGGTTAATCTATTTTATGATTGTTAAATGAAATACTTTGTATTTTGCTCTGGGAAGTCTGGGGGGGGGGGGGGGGGGTGAGGGGAGGGAAAGGGGGGGGGAACATGGGGGGGGGGAACTTTTTGTTTTTTTTTGTAAAACTTTTCAATAATATATATATATTATATATACCTCAATATAGCTTTAAGACTGTATTGCTGTATTGCATCATACTGTGTCCTGATTGGTTAGCTCTGTAGCCAATGTCCTTAAGAGGAAGCTTGAAACATGGTTTGTTTCTCTCTGCTGATCTTTGCTGATCATTACTGCTCTTTGCTGTGTTTGCTACTGTTTGCAACTGTTTATTGTGTAGGACTACGACGACTGGTAAGAAGACTTTGTTATTGGAATATCCCTGGACTATTGTTTTACTATCTACTGCTTTATCCGTGTATGACCTGGGCTGTTTATTGGACTGTGCCTTATTGCTATTTTCCTGAAAAGTAAACACAGCTCAGTGTATCTGTGTGTTGGCTGTGGTTATTCGCAACTGCTCTCAGTCGCTTTCATGTGCACATCCTTGCTACTCTAGGGTTGCTCTGCGAATTCCTCAACATGCTGTACCCATCATTTCTTGATACAGGCAGTCCTCCACTTACGACAGTTAATTTAGTGACCGTTTGAAGTTACAACGGCACTGAAAAAAGAGACTTACGACCGCCTTTTTTCACATTTATGACATTTGCAGCATCTCCCTGCTCGTGTGATCAAAATTCAGGCGCTGGGCAACTGGTTCATACTTATGACCGTTGCAGTGTCCGGATGGTCACGTGATCCCCTTTTGCAAACTTCTGACCAGCAAAGTCGATGGGTAATCCAGGTTCACTTAACAACTGTGGCAAGACTGATTGTAAAATGGGACAAAAGTCACTTGACAAATGTCTCACTTAACAACAGAAATGTTGGGCTCAATTGTGGTCATAAGTTGAGGACTACCTGTACTGTTAAGAATGGATCTTGGGGGGGGGGGGGAAACTGATACGGGCAGAAAGCAAGGAAGTGGCAGAAACTAAAATGAAAATAAACCAACTGCAAAAAGAGAAAAATACACGCCCTGTGAAAAAAAAAAAAAAATCCCTAACAGGTAGTCCTCGACTTATGACCACAATGGCCCCCAAAATTTATGCTCCTAAGCGAGACATTTGTCAAGTGACCTTTCTGGCCACAGTTGTTAAGTGAATCATTGCATTCGGTTAAGCGAATCCGGTTTACCCACGGACTTTGCTCGTCAGGAGGTCGCAAAAGGGGACACTGCAACTGTCATAAATGTGAGTCCGCTGCCAACTGCCTGAATTTTGATCAGGTGACCACGGGGGAGACTGCAAGCGTCGTAAGTGTGAAAAACGGTCCTAAGTGACGTTGTAACTTTGAACAGTCGCTTAAACGAACCGCCGTTCAGTCCCTAAACTGAATCCCCCGACAGGACGAATGGAAAAGGGACATAAATGCCCTACGACGGAAAACCGTTGCTCGCAAATGCCAAAAAAAACCCCTAACTTAAAACACAATTTAAAACCGTCAAAAAAGGCTGCACGAACTCTGCCCCTCCCCTCAAAAAAAGGGTGCCCCCCTCCGCCCCCGAAGGAAGTTTCAGAAAGTCGTGCAAATGGAAGCTGCCCGATTGCTGGCGTGAATAAAACGCTCTGCGGCTTTGAGAGCGTTTCATTATTTTATCAATACCCTAACATGCATTGCAGGAATGCCGATTTAAAACAGCTCAGCAGTTTGCAGTATAATCAACCGCTTGCCCTCGTTGTGTGTGTGTGTGTGTGTGTGTGTGTGTGTGTGTGTGTGTGTTGTGGGGAGTCTGCATAATTCATGCCTTTCAAAAGGCAGGGCGATAAATCATGAGCCTGTTTGGGCGGAGAGCTTTTGAATGCGTTTATTTTATTAAATGCACAGGTATGAATCCTTTCACTTCTGACACGCCAGCTGACCAAGCCACTAATAACCCAGAGTCGGTTTAATTTTACAGACAGAATCCGAAGGGTTATTGAAGCCATCTGCTCCAGTTGCAGGACTCACACAAATCAAAATGTATCCCGGGAGACGGCGGCTTTAATTCTTAATTTTAGAGTTCTCTTGTCAGCCTTCCTGAATTATTTAGAAAAACAGGATGGAGACATGTGTGAAAGTGACAGACATGTAATTAATTATAATATTTCATTAATAAAACAGAGAGGGTGCTTCCTTGCAATGGTTTAACAACAGAATAATTCTAGCCTGGTGTTTTTTTTTTTAATTTGATTTATATGCCGCCCTTCTCCGGAGACTCAGGGCGGCTTACAATGCACTAAGCAATAGCCTTCATCCTTTTGTATATTTATACAAAGTCAGTTTATTGCCCCCACAAACTGGGTCCCCAATTTACCTACCTTAGAAAGGATGGAAGGCTGAGTCAATCTTGGTCTTAATAACCAGCTTAATAACAGGGTGCCTTAGACCACTGTACTACCAAGGCTCTTGGTAGTACAGGCGTTAAGGTGTTTTAAGCTTAAAAGGGTTAGAAATTCTGTGATAAGATGCATCTCTTAAAATGCACAACACTTCTAAATAAAAATAGATCTGATATCTAACGGGGGGGGGAAAAACAGAGCATCGTAAAAACGAAGCTTGGAATGATAATAAGTCTGTACCTATTAAAAACAACAAGGTAAGCCATTTACAAGCCCAGCTTATACCTAAATGAGCTTCATGAAGTCTCTAAAAAACAAGAATTGTGGCAAGGCTTTTCTGCAATCGAAAATTACGCTACCGTTCTTCGGATGTGGCAGTGGTTAAAAAAACAAAACAAGACAGCATCTTAATATCACCGGCACTAAAATAAAAGATAGAAACCCTGCTAATTATGAGAAAAGTTTCTTGCATCTTGAAACAAACAGCCGGAAAGAATTTTGCAACTTGCAAAGCTAGAATTACTGTTTGTGGGGGTAGAGATGGGACTATTTGGGTTTTTTTTAAAAAAAATGTATGGTAGTCCTGACACTATGATTGGAGCCAGAATTTCCATTGCTAAGCAAAGCAGTTGTTAAATGAGCCGCGCCCAGGGATAAAATGCTCCCAGTTCGGACCGGATCACCCGATCCGGTAGCGATGGAGGCGGGTGGTTCGGAGAACCGGTAGCAAAAATCCCTGCCCCCACCCCATGCCCAGCTGAGCTGCACGATCATCAGAGGCTTTTTTTAAAACCATTTTTTCTACAACCTCTTCTGCCAAAAAAATGCTTTTAAAAGTATATATATATAAAAAAAAGCCTCTAATGATCGTGTGGCTCAGTTGGGTTCGTCAAAGGCT